ACACACACTAATGGTCAACCGTTCAACTGTCATGCTGTACAGACACTGATGGTCAATCATTCAAGCGTCATGATTTCCAGACACTGATGGTCAACCCTTCAACTGTCATGCTGTACATACACTGATGGTCAACCCTTCAACTGTCATGATGTCCAGACACTGATGGTCAACCCTTCAACTATGATGCTCTCAAGACACTGATGGTCAACCCTTCTAATTGTCGTGCTGTCCAGACACTGATGGTCAACCCTTCAACTGTCACGCTGTACAGGCACTGATGGTCAACTCTTCAACTGTCATGATCTACAGACACTGATGGTCAACCCTTCAACTGTCATGCTGTACAGACACTGATGGTCAACCCTTCAACTATCATGCTCTCAAGACACTGATGGTCAACCCTTCTAATTGTCGTGCTGTCCAGACACTGATTGTCAACCCTTTAACTGTCACGCTGTACAGACACTGATGGTCAACACTTCAACTGTCATGCTGTACATTCACTGATGGTCAATCGTTCAAGTGACATACTCTCCAGACACGGATGGTCCACCCTTCATTTCTCATGATGTCCAGACACTGATCGTCAACCCTTCAACTGTCATGCTGTCCAGATTCTGATGGTCAACACTTCAACTGGCACGCTGTACAGACACTGATGGTCAACCCTTCAACTGTCATGCTGTCCAGACACTGATGGTCAACCCTTCAACTGTCATGATGTCCAGACACTGATGGTCAACCCTTTCAGATGTCATGCTGTACATACAATGATGGTCAAGCCTTCACCTCTCATGGTGTCCAGACACTGATGTTCAACCTTTCAACTTTCATGCTGTACATACACTGATGGTCAACCCTTCACATGCCATGCTGTACAGACACTGATGTTCAACCCTTCAACTGTCATGATGTTCAAAAACTGATGGTCAACCCTTCAACTGTCATGATGTCCAGACACTGATTGTCAATCCTTCAACTGTCATGACGTCCAGACACTGATGGTCAACCCTTGAACTGTCATGCTGTACAGACACTGATGGTCAACCCTTCAACTGTCATGATGTCCAGACACTGATGGTCAACCCTTTCAGATGTCATGCTGTACATACAATGATGGTCAAGCCTTCACCTCTCATGGTGTCCAGACACTGATGTTCAACCTTTCAACTTTCATGCTGTACATACACTGATGGTCAACCCTTCACATGCCATGCTGTACAGACACTGATGTTCAACCCTTCAACTGTCATGATGTTCAAAAACTGATGGTCAACCCTTCAACTGTCATGCTGTACAGACACTGATGGTTAACCCTTCGACTGTCATGCTGTCGAGACACTGATGGTCACACCCTTCAACTGTCCTGCTGTCCAGACACTTGTGTTCAACCCTTCAACTGTCATGCTGTCCAGACACTGATGGTCAACCCTTCAACTGTCATGCTGTACAGACACTGATGGTCAGTCCTTCAACTGTCATGATATCCAGACACTGATGGTAAACCCTTCAACTGTCATGCTGTCCAGACACTGATGGTCAACCCTTCAACTGTCATGATGTCCAGACACTGATGGTAAACCCTTCATCTGTCATGATGTCCAGACACTGATGGTCAACCCTTCAACTCCTATGCTGTCGAGACACTGATGGGCAACCCTTCAACTGTCACGCTGTACAGACACTGATGGTCAACCCTTCAACTGTCATGATGTCCAGACACTGACGGTCAACCCTTCAACTGTCATGATGTCCAGAAACTGATCGTCAACCCTTCAACTGTCATGCTGTACACACACTAATCGTCAACCCTTCAACTGTCATGCTGTACAGACACTGATGGTCAATCATTCAAGTGTCATGATTTTCAGACACTGATGGTAAATCCTTCAACTGTCATGCTGTACATACACTGATGGACAAACCTTCAACTGTCATGTTGTACAGAAACTGATGGTCAACCCTTCAAGTGTCATGATGTCCAGACACTGATGGTCAAACCTTCAACTGTCATGCTGTACACACACTGATGGTCAACCCTTCAAGTGTCATGATGTCCAGACACTGATGGTCAACCCTTCAACTCTCATGATGTTCAGACACTGATGGTCAACCCTTCAACTGTCATGATGTCCAGACACTGATCGTCAACCCTTCAACTGTCATGCTGTACACACACTTATGGTCAACCCTTCAACTGTCATGCTGTACAGACACTAATGGTCAATCATTCAAGTGTCATGATTTCCAGACACTTATGGTCAATCCTTCAACTGTCATGCTGTACATACACTAATGGTCAAACCTTCAACTGTCATGCTGTACAAAAACTGATGGTCAACCCTTCAAGTGTCATGATGTCCAGACACTGATGGTCAACCCTTCAACTGTCATGATGTCCAGACACTTATCGTCAACCCTTCAACTGTCATGTTGTACAGACACTGATATTCAACCCTTCAACTGTCGTGCTGTCCAGACACTGATGGTCAACCCTTCAACTGTCATGATGTCCAGACACTGATCGTCAACCCTTCAACTGTCATGCTGTACATACACTGATGGTCAACCCTTCAACTGTCATGATGTACAGACACTAATGGACAACCCTTCAACTGTCATGATGTCCAGACACTAATGGTCAACCCTTCAACAGTCATGATGTCCAGACACTGATCGTCAACCCTTCAACTGTCATGCTGTCCAGACACTGATGGTCAACCCTTCAACTGTCATGCTGTACAGACACTGATGTTCAACCTTTCATCTTTCATGATGTCCAGACACTGATGGTCAACCTTTCAACTTTCACGCTGTACAGACACTGATGGTCAACCCTTCAACTGTCATGATGTCCAGACACTGATTTCCAAAACTTCGAAATTATATTGGCAACCACAACATGGATTTTATTCCCTCAAAACCGTACTTGCTATAGAATTTTCGAAACTGTAACAGCGACAATATCTTTATTTTCACCCCTTCAAAACGTCATGTTGTGCACACCGTGATCTTCACCTCCTAAAAAATTGTTTTTGCGTCTATATCTTGATTTCCATCCATTCAAAACAGTTATAGTGACCACACCCTGATACTCACAATTTCAAAAGTCCGGCCACTTATTTTCAACCCTTCAAAACTGTTTTGGCGTCCATGCCTAGATTTTCAAGGAATCGACACTGTCATAGAGATTCTGACCCCTTCAAAACTATCCTGGTAACCACATTCTGATTTGCACCCCTTCAAGGCTGTCATGGTAACCACATTCTAATTTATGCACCTTTCAAATTGTCATTGCGGCTGCATCATAATTTCCACCCCTGCGAAACTGTTATGGTGATCACACAATGACCATGACCCCCTCATTACTGTTTTAGCGTCCATACATTGGTTTACACCCATCCTAAACATTCACGGCAAACACAACCTGAATTTCACCCCCTTTAAAAACCAAATCCTGATTTGCATCTATTCGAAATATTCATAGCGACCATATACTCATTTGCACCTATTAGAAATATTCATAGCGACCATATCCTGATTTGCACCTATTCGAAATATTCATAACGACCATATCCTGATTTGCACCTATTCCAAACATTCATAACGACCATATCCTGATTTTCCCTCATTTGGAACTATTATCGCCACCACAACCTGACATACACCTCTTCGAAACTGTCATGGTGAGCCAACCCGATTATCATTCTTAAAAAAACTGCCATGTCGTTTACACACTGATTACCCTCTTTAAAAACCGGCATGGCGAACACACCTGCTTATCACCCTTTACAAACTGTCATGGCGTTCATACACTTATTACCATCCTTAAATATTGTCATGGCGTTCACATACTACCTTTATTAAAAACTGGCATAGCGACCACACCTGCTTATAACCATTTAAAAACTGTCGTGACGTTCACATACTAATTACGATCTTCAAAAACTATCATGGTTACCACATCCTGACTCCCTTTACACACTGTCAAAACGTTAATACACATATTACCATCTTTACAAACTGGCATGGCGACCGCATCTTGATTATAACCCTTTAAAAACTGGCATGGCAACCCACCTACTTATCATCCTTACAAACTGTTTACACACTGATTACCAGCCTTAAGCAACTGTCATGGCGTGCACACACTAATTACCATAATTAAAAAGTGGCATAGTGATCTAACCCTTTCAAAACAGAAATGGCGACCATACCTGCTTATCCACCTTTACAAACTGCCATGGCGTATACACACTGATTACCAGCCAATAACAACTGTCATGGCGTTCACACACTTATTACCATCTTTAAAAAATGGCATGGTGACCCAACATGATTTTCTCCCTTTTAAGAACTGGGATGGCGACCACTCCTGCTTATCACCCTAAACAAACTGTCATGTCATTTACTCACTGCTTACCATCTTTAAAAAAACTGGCATGGCGTCCACACCTGCTTATTACCCTTTACAAGCGATCATGTCGTTTACACACTGATTACCATCTTAAAAAACTGACATGGTGACCCAACCTGCTTATCACACTTAACAAACTGTCATGTCGTTTACACACTGATTACCAGCCTTTAACATCTGTTGTGTCGTTTACACATCGATCACCATCTTTAAAAACTGGCATGGCGATCCAACTATCACCCTTTAAAAAACTGACATGGTGACCACACCTGCGTATCACCCTTTACAGTCTGTTTTGCGTTTACATACTGATTACCAGCCTTTAACAGCTATCATGGCGGTCACACACTAATAACCATCTTCAAAAACTTTCAAGGCCACCACATCCTGATTATCGCGCTTTAAAAACTAGTATGGCGACCACATCTTGATTATAAGAATAAAAAAAAAACTGTCATGGCATTGATATACTGATTAGCAACCTTCGAAAACTCTTATGTATTTGCATATAGGCTGTTGCTCTTTTATTCTTATTTTAAAACTCTTTCTGGAAAGTAATTAAGCTTCATATTTCAATTTGCAGAGGAAAACGTATGTGGTATACAGAAACCTTGTGCTAATGGTGGCACGTGCACAGAGATTTGGAACGGCTACAGCTGCACCTGTCTGCCTCCTTTTTCGGGCGTGAACTGTACAGGTAGGTTTCAGAGTAGCCATGATGGAATGAATTCGCTTTAACGCACCTTTAAAACTTTTTCAGCTGTATGACGGCGTTTCAGATTGTTTTGTTTCTTTGTATGTTTGCTGTATGACACAACACTCAGCAATATTCCACCTTGTTTATCACCATTTAAAAACTGTCATGGCGTTCACACACCGATTATCACCACTTCGAAACTGTTATACCAACCACTCCCTGAGATTCATGTTTTGGAAACTATCATGGCGATCATATCCTGACTTTCAACCCATTGATACTTTATTTCCAATTATTCGGAACTATTATGAAACCATGCCCTGATTTTCACCCCTTCGAAACTGTCATATCGACCACAACCTGATTATGACCCTTTAAGAGCTGTCGTGGCGTTCACACCCTGATTATCACACTTTAAGAAATGTCATGGCGTTCACAAACGAACTACCACCCTTTACAAACTGCCATGGCAACCACATCCTTACTTTTACCCCTTCAAAAAACAGTATCGGCATTGACTTTTTCCTAATTGTCATAGCGACCACAGCCTGATTATCCCCTTTTACAAACCTCCATGGCGTTTAAACACTAATTACCACCCTTTACAAACAGCCATTGCTTCCAAACACTGATTAACAACCTTCAAAAATATTTACTGTGTTCACACACTGATTATGACACTTCAAAAAATGTCATGTCGTTTACACACTGATTACCATCATTAAAAACTGGCATGGCGACCACACCTACTCATAACCCTAACAAACTGTTCACACACTGATTGCCAGCCTAAAACAACTGCAATGGCGTTCACACACAAATAACCATCTTTAAAAGCTGGCATAGTGATCTAACCAGATTATCACTCTTTAAAAACGGAAATGGCGATCACACCTGCTTATCTCCTTTTACAAACTGTCATGGCGTATACACACTGATTACCAGTCTTTAACAACTGTCATGTCGTTCACAAACTAATTACCATCTTTAAAAACTGGCATAGTGACCCAACCTGATTATCTCCCTTTAAAAACTGGCATGGCGTCCACACCTGCTTATTACCCTTTACAAACTGTCATGTCATTTACACACTGATTATCATCTTCAAAAACTGTCATGGTGACCCAACCTGCTTATCACACTTTACAAACTGTCATGTCGTTTACACACTGATTACCAGCCTTTGACATCTGTTTTGTCGTTTACACATCGATCACCATCTTTAAAAAACTGGCATGGCGATCCAACATGATGATCACCCTTTAACAAACTGGCATGGCGACCACACATGCTAATCACCCTTTACAATTTGTCTTGCGTTTACATACTGATTACCAGCCTTTAACAACTGTCATGGCGTTCACACACTAATTACCATCTTCAAAAACTTTCAAGGCCACCACATCCTGATTATCGCGCTTTAAAAACTAGTATGGCGACCACATCTTGATTATAAGAGTAAAAAATTGAGATTGAGATACTGATTAGCAAACTTCAAAAACTCTTATGTATTTGCATATAGACTGTTTCTCTTTTATTCTTATTTCAAAACACTTTCTGGAAACTAATTAAACTTCATATTTCAATTTGCAGAGAAAAACGTCTGTGATAACGAGAAACCTTGTTCTAATGGTGGCACGTGCACAGAGACATGGAACGGCTACAGCTGCGCCTGTCTGCCTCCTTTTTCGGGCGTGAACTGTACAGGTAGGTTTCAGAGTGGCCATGAAGGAATGAATTCGCTTCAACGCACCTTTAAGACGTTTTCAGCAATATGACGGCGTGTCAGATTGTTTTTGTTTGTTTGTATGTTTGCTGTATGACACCACACTCAGCAATATTCCAGCTTGATTATCACCATTTAAAAACTGTCATGGCGTTCACACACCGATTATCACCACTTTGAAACTGTTATACCAATCACACCCTGAGATTCATCTTTTGGAAACTTTCATGGCGATCATATCCTGACTTTCAGCCCCTTGATACCTTAATTTCCATTATTCGGAACTGTTATGAAACGATGCCCTGATTTTCACCCCTTCGAAACTGTCATATCGACCACAACCTGATTATGACCCTTTAAGAGCTGTCGTGGCGTTCATACCCTGATTTTCACACTTTAAGAACTGTCATGGCGTTCACAAACGAACTACCACCCTTTACAAACTGCCATGGCAACCACATCCTTACTTTTACCCCTTCAAAAAACAGTATCAGCATTGACTTTTTACTAATTGAAAACTGTCACAGCGACCACATCAAGATTTGCAACCATTCGTAACTGTCATGGAAACCATCCACTGATGTTCACCCCTTCAAAACGTCAGGTTGTGCACACCCTGATCTTCACCTCCTCCAAACTGTTTTTGCGTCAATATCTTGAGGTCCACCCATTCGAAACTTTCCTGGTGACCACACCCTGATTCTCAACCCCTGCTGAACTCTCACATTGACCTGACACTTATTTTCACCCATTCAAAACTGTTTTGGCGTCCAAATCTTGATTTTTAAGAACTCAATCCTGTCATAGATACATTCTGATCCCTTCAAAACTCTCCTGGTAACCATATTCAGAATTTCGCACCTTTGGAATTAGTATTGCGACCACTAGCTGATTTTCAATCCTTCGAAAGGATTGTCAACACTCTGATTTTCGCCCCCTATAAAAATTGTTTTGGAGTCCATACTTAGATATTCACCAATTCAAACGTTCACAAACGTTCAAAAACTCTGATAGCGACCATACCCAGATGTTAACCCCTTCTGAACTGACATGATTGTCCAAACCCTGATCCTCCCCTACCCCATCCTCCTCAAAACTGTTTTGGAGTCCATAACTTGATGTTTACCCATTCGGAACTATCACAGTGACCACACCCTGATTGTCATACATGAAGAACTATCATGGAGGATATACCCTGATGTTCAACCCATTGAAACTGTCATTGCGACGAATCCAAAATGTTCCCTCATTCGTAACTGTTATGGAAACAATATTCTGATTATCACCCCTTTGAAGCTGTCATAGCGACCACTACCTGATTATCCCCTTTTACAAACCTCCATGGCGTTTAAACACTAATTACCACCCTTTACAAACAGCCATTGCTTCCAAACACTGATTAACAACCTTCAAAAATATTTACTGTGTTCACACACTGATTATGACACTTCAAAAAATGTCATGTCGTTTACACACTGATTACCATCATTAAAAACTGGCATGGCGACCACACCTACTCATAACCCTAACAAACTGTTCACACACTGATTGCCAGCCTAAAACAACTGCAATGGCGTTCACACACAAATAACCATCTTTAAAAGCTGGCATAGTGATCTAACCAGATTATCACTCTTTAAAAACGGAAATGGCGATCACACCTGCTTATCTCCTTTTACAAACTGTCATGGCGTATACACACTGATTACCAGTCTTTAACAACTGTCATGTCGTTCACACACTATTTACCATCTTTAAAAACTGGCATAGTGACCCAACCTGATTATCTCCCTTTAAAAACTGGCATGGCGTCCACACCTGCTTATTACCCTTTACAAACAGTCATGTCATTTACACACTGATTACCATCTTCAAAAACTGTCATGGTGACCCAACCTGCTTATCACACTTTACAAACTGTCATGTCGTTTACACACTGATTACCAGCCTTTGACATCTGTTATGTCGTTTACACATCGATCACCATCTTTAAAAAACTGGCATGGCGATCCAACATGATGATCACCCTTTAACAAACTGGCATGGCGACCACACATGCTAATCACCCTTTACAATTTGTCTTGCGTTTACATACTGATTACCAGCCTTTAACAACTGTCATGGCGTTCACACACTAATTACCATCTTCAAAAACTTTCAAGGCGACCACATCCTGATTATCGCACTTTAAAAACTAATATGGCGACCACACCTCGATTATAAGAGTAAAAAATTGAGATTGAGATACTGATTAGCAAACTTCAAAAACTCTTATGTATTTGCATATAGACTGTAGCTCTTTTATTCTTATTTCAAAACACTTTCTGGAAACTAATTAAACTTCATATTTCAATTTGCAGAGAAAAACGTCTGTGATAATGAGAAACCTTGTTCTAATGGTGGCACGTGCACAGAGACATGGAACGGCTACAGCTGCGCCTGTCTGCCTCCTTTTTCGGGCGTGAACTGTACAGGTAGGTTTCAGAGTAGCCATGAAGGAATGAATTCGCTTCAACGCACCTTTAAGACGTTTTCAGCAATATGACGGCGTGTCAGATTGTTTTTGTTTGTTTGTATGTTTGCTGTATGACACCACACTCAGCAATATTCCAGCTTGATTATCACCATTTAAAAACTGTCATGGCGTTCACACACTGACCATCACCACTTTGAAACTGTTATACCAACCACACCCTGAGATTCATCTTTTGGAAACTTTCATGGCGATCATATCCTGACTTTCAGCCCCTTGATACCTTAATTTCCATTATTCGGAACTGTTATGAAACCATGTCCTGATTTTCACCCCTTCGAAACTGTCATATCGACCACAACCTGATAATGACCCTTTAAGAGCTGTCGTGGCGTTCATACCCTGATTTTCACACTTTAAGAAATGTCATGGCGTTTACAAACGAACTACCACCCTTTACAAACTGCCATGGCAACCACATCCTTACTTTTACCCCTTCAAAAAACAGTATTGGTATTGACTTTTTACTCATTCAAAACTATCACAGCGACCACATCAAGATTTGCAACCATTCGTAACTGTCATGGAAACCATCCACTGATTTTCACCCCTTCAAAACGTCATGTTGTGCCCACCCTGATCTTCACCTCCTCCAAACTGTTTTTGCGTCAATATCTTGAGTTCCACCCATTCGAAACTTTCCTGGTGACCACACCCTGATTCTCAACCCCAGCGAAACTCTCTCATTCACCGGACACTTATTTTCACCCATTCAAAACGTTTTGGCGTCCAAATCTTGATTTTTAAGAACTCAATCCTGTCATAGAGACAATACCCTGATTCTGATCCCTTCAAAACTCTCCTGGTAACCATATTCAGAATTTCGCACCTTTGGAATTATTATTGCGACCATTAGCTAAATTTCAATCCTTCGAAAGGATTATCCACACTCTCATTTTCGCCCCCTGAAAACTGTTTAGGAGTCAATACTTAGATATTCACCAATTCAAACGTTCACAAACGTTCACAAACTCTGATAGCGACCATACCCAGATGTTAACCCCTTCTGAACTGACATGCTTGCCCACACCCTGATCCTCCTCTACCCCACCCTCCATAAAACTGTTTTGGCGTCCATACCTTGATGTTTACCCATTCGGAACTATCACAGTGACCACACCCTGATTGTCATACATGAAGAACTATCATGGAGGATATACCCTGATGTTTAACCCATTGAAACTGGCATGGCGACGAATCCAAAATGTTCCCTAATTCGTAACTGTTATGGAAATAATATTCTGATTATCACCCCTTTGAAGCTGTCATAGCGACCACTACCTGATTATCCCCTTTTACAAACCACCATGGCGTTCAAACACTAATTACCACCCTTTACAGACAGCCATTGCGTCCAAACACTGATTAACAACCTTCAAAATATTTACGGTGTTCACACACTGATTATGACACTTCAAAAACTGTCATGGCGTGCAGACACTGATTTCCACCCTTCTAAAACTGCCATGAGAACCATGCACTGATTATCACAATTAAAATCTTTCACAGTTGTCGCCTTTATGAACAGTTTTTCAGTAACACTAGTCACAGGAAGTGCACTCTTCACGATTGAGAACTTATTTTGGTAGCAGAAGTAGTGGCAGTTGCAGCAGCAGCATATGTGGAAGATGCTCAATACATTTAGTGTCAATAATAACTACAAACTCCAAAACGGCCATATCAAGGAAAACCTTCATATAAGTCAGAATATAAATGAAGGGTAAACAAAATCTGGAGTTTAGAGCTAAATGCTCGCAAATAAAGTTAAAGCCACAAATATTTATGCTGTACCTATCCTTTCGTATTCTTTGGTGTTTTTTATTGGACAAAACAAGAAATTCACGGTATTGACGCCCTCACACGGAGAATCATTTCAGACAATAGAGCCAACAATCCTCGTTCTCCTAAATCGCTTATATTTACAAATCTATCTATCTATTTATCCTATCTATATATGTGTAACATTGTAACCAACAACAGAGTCCCTTCTTCTACAAACTAGGAACAATGTTTACATATTGTACGTTTGATTTCCAGTCTCCACTGACCGGAAGCTAGACGTCCTGATTGTAGAAGATGTTTCGCGCTCCATCGGCAAACCCAACTTTGACGAAATGAAACGATTCCAAGAGAGTATGGTAAACTCTACCACCATAGGCCGTGATGCTCTTAACGTTGCATTGATAGCATTTTCTTCAAACGCTAGAGTGGTATTCAGATTCACTGAATATAGCAACAACAAGTCGGGGGTTCTGGCAGCTCTCCAGCAGCAGACATACGAAGAGGGTCCCTCTACGAACATTGGAGATGCCATCAAGCTTGCTACAGGTACAATTTTCATTGGCGACCGCAATGACGCTGACAACAAGGTCATCATGTTTACCGATGGGTACACCACAATGGAGGACCGGGAGGCCATTGCTGCCAGTATTGGTTCTCTGAAAGCCAAAGCTGAGGTATTTGTTGTTGCTATCTCGGAAGTAGATGCCAATTCTACAATCCACCTAATTGCTTCGGGACCTTCCAACATCATCAAGATTGGCTCCCCTGATGCAGTCAGTGCTGTCCTGCAGAAGATGATGGCTCCATAAGGGGAGATGAAATAGCTGCACTAAATGTTATTGCGTAACCAATAAATGATCTGCATATGCTGCGAGTTTGTTGTTTCGCGAGTGATAAGGGTAAACGTGCGGGCGTCCGTGCCTGTGTGCGTGCGTGCGTGCGTCCGTGCGTGCGTGCGTGCGTGCGTCCGTTCGTGTGTCAGGGATTCCACGTGTCACAACAACCGTCTTCCCACGATGTTTATCTTATAAACAAATTCTACTGCAGAATAAACCCCACCATTCATTACTGACTGTTTAGTAAAGCAACACCAACAGCAGAGACACTACTGACTGTTTAGTGAAGCACAGTCAACAGTGGCATTACTGACTTGTTAGAGAAGCACAGCCAACAGTGGCATTACTGACTGTTTAGAGAAGCACAGTCAACAGTGGCATTACTGACTTGTTAGAGAAGCAAAGCCAACAGTGGCATTACTGACTGTTTAGAGAAGCAGAGCCAACAGTGGCATTACTGACTGTTTAGAGAAGCACAGCCAACGGTAGCATTACTGACTTGTTAGAGAAGCACAGCCAACAGTGGCATTACTGACTGTTTAGTGAAGCACAGCCAACAGTGGTATTACTGACTGTTTAGAGAAGCACAGCCAACAGTTGCATTACTGACTGTTTAGTGAAGCACAGCCAACAGTGGCATTACTGACTGTTTAGTGAAGCACATCCAACAGTGGCATTACTGACTGGTTAGAGAAGCACAGCCAACAGTGGCATTACTGACTGTTTAGTGAAGCACATCCAACAGTGGCATTACTGACTGGTTAGTGAAGCACAGCCAACAGTGGCATAACTGACTGTTTAGTGAAGCACAACCAACAGTGGCATTACTGACTGTTTAGAGAAGCACAGCCAACAGTGGCATAACTGACTGGTTAGAGAAGCACAGCCAACAGTGGCATTACTGACTGTTTAGTGAAGCACAGCCAACAGTGGCATTACTGACTGTTTAGAGAAGCACAGCCAACAGTGAAATTACTGATTGTTTAGTGAAGCACAGCCAGCAGTGGCATTACTGACTGTTAAGTGAAGCACAACCAACAGTGGCATTACTGACTGTTTAGTGAAGCACAACCAACAGTGGCATTACTGACTGTTTAGAGAAGCACAGCCAACAGTGGCATAACTGACTGGTTAGTAAAGCATGAGCAAAGTGGGAACGTGTTATATCAACCACAAGGGCATGGCTATAGTCGGAACATGGTACATCAACCATAGGGCCATGGTTATAGTCGGAACGAGTTATATCAACCATAAGGGCATGGTTATAGTCGAAGCGTGTAACATCAACTATAAGGGCATGATTGTAGTCGGACCGTGTTATATCAACCATAGGGGCATAGTAATAGTCGGAACGTGTTATATCAACCATAGCGTCATAGTTATAGTCGGAACGTGTCATATCAACCATAGGGGCATAGTTATAATCGGAACGTGTTATATCAACCTCAGGGGCATAGTTATAGTCGGAACGTGTTATATCAACCATATGAGCATAGTTATTGTCGGAACGTGTTATATCAACCAATGGGGCATGGTTATAGTCGGAAAATGTTATATCAACCCTATTCGGCATGGTTATAGTCGGAACGTGTTATATCAACCATAAGGGCATGATTATAGTCGGAACGTGTTATATCAACCAATGGTGCATGGTTATAGTCGGAAAGTGTTATATCAACCATCGGGGCATAGTAATAGTCGGACCGTGTTATGTCAACCATGGGGGCATGTGTATAGTCGGAACGTGTTATGTCAACCATAGGGGCATGGTTATAATCGAAACGTGTTATATCCACCAAAGGTGCTTGCGTATAGTGCAAACGTGTTATATCAACCAATGGGGCATGGTTATAGTCGGAACGTGTTATATCAACCATAGGGGCATGGTTATAATCGAAACGTGTTATATGAACCATAGGGGCATGGTTATTGTCGGAACGTGTTATGTCAACCAATGGGGCATGGTTAAAGTCGGAACGTGTTATATCAATCATAGGGGCATGGTTATAGTCGGAACATATTATACCAACCACAGGGGAATGGTTATATTCGGAACGTGTTATGTGAACCATGGGGGCATGAGTATAGTCGGTACGTGTTATAACAACAATAGGGGCATGGTTATAGTCGGAACGTGTTATAACAACAACAGGGGCATGGTCATAGTCGGAAGTGTTATATCAACCATAGGGGCATAGTTATAATCGGAACGTGTTTTATCAACCATAGGGGCAGAGTTATAATCGGAACGTGTTATATCAACCACAGGGGCATGGTTATAGTCGGAACGTGTTATATCAACCACAGGTGCATGGTTATAATCGGAACGTGTTATATCAACCAATGGGGCATAGTTATAGTCGGAACGCGTTTTATCAACCAAAGGTGCTTGCTTATAGTGCAAACGTGTTATATCAACCAATGCGGCATGGTTATATTCGGAACGTGTTAAGTCAACCAAAGGGGCATAGTTATAGTCTGAACGTGGTATATCAACCATAGGGCATGGTTATAGTCGGGTCATGTTATGCGAACCATGGGGCATGAATATAGTCGGTACGTGTAATATCAACCATAGGGCATAGTTATAATCGGACCGTGTTATGTCAACTATAGGGGCATGGTTATAGTCGGACCATGTTATATCAACCATAGATGCATGGTTATAGTCGGAACGTGTTATATCAACCATAGGGGCATGATTATAATCGAAACGTGTTATATGAACCATAGGGGCATGGTTATAGTCGGAACGTGTTATATCAACCATAGGGGCATGGTTATAGTCAGAACATGTTATATCAATCAAAGGTGCTTGCGTATAGTGCAAACGTTTTATATCAGCCAATGGGGCATGGTTATAGTCGGAACGTGTTATATCAACCATAGGGGCATGGTTATAATCGAAACATGTTATATGAACCATAGGGGCATGGTTATAGTCGGAACGTGTTATGTCAACCAATGGGGCATGGTTAAAGTCGGAACGTGTTATATCAATCATAGGGGCATGGTTATAGTCGGAACATGTTATACCAACCAAAGGGGAATGGTTATAGTTGGAACGTGTTATGTGAACCATGGGGGCATGAATATAGTCGGTACGTGTTATAACAACAATAGGGGCATGGTTATAGTCGGAACGTGTTATAACAACAATAGGGGCATGGTCATAGTCGGTACGTGTTATAATAACAATAAGGGCATTGTTATAGTCGGAACGTGTTATATATACCATAGGGGCATCGTTATAATCGGAACATGTTATATCAAAAATAAGGACATAGTTATAATCGGAACGTGCTATATCAACCATAGGGGCATAGTTATAATCGGAACGTGTTATATCAACAACATGGGCATGGTTATAGTCGGAACGTGTTATATCAACCACAGGGGCATGGTTATAATCCGAACGTTTTATATCAACCGACGGGGCTTGGTTATAGTCGGAACGTGTTATATCAACCACAGGGGAATGGTTATAATCGGAATGTGTTATTTCAACCAATGGGGCATAGTTATAGTCGGAACGTGTTATATCAACCATAGGGACATAGTTATATTTGGAACGTGTTTTATCAACCAAAGGTGCTTGCGTATAGTGCAAACGTGTTATATCAACCAATGGGGCGTGGTTATATTCGGAACGTGTTATGTCAACGATGGGGCATGAATATAGTCGGTACGTGTAATATCAACCATAGGGGCATGGTTATAGTCGGAACGTGTTATGTCGACCATGGGGGCAGAGCAAAGTTGGAACTTGTTATATCAACCAATAGGGCATGGTTATAGTAGTAACGTGTTATATCAACCATAGGGGCATGGTTATAGTCAGAACGTGTTATGTCAGCCATGGGGTCATGAGCCATGTCGGAACGTGTTATATCAATCAAAGGTGCTTGCGTATAGTGCAAACGTTTTATATCAACCAATGGGGCATGGTTATAGTCGGAACGTGTTATATCAACCATAGGGGCATGGTTATAATCGAAACGTGTTATATGAACCATAGGGGCATGGTTATAGTCGGAACGTGTTATGTCAACCATAGGAGCATGGTTATAATCGAAACGTGTTATATGAACCATAGGGGCATGGTTATAGTCGGAACGTGTTATGTCAACCAATGGGGCATGGTTATAGTCGGAACGTGTGATGTCAACCAATGTTGCATGGTTAAAGTCGGAACGTGTTATAACAACAATAAGGGCATGGTCATAGTCGGTACGTGTTATAACAACAATAGGGGCATGGTTTAAGTCGGAACGTGTTATATCAACTATAAGGGCATAGTTATAATCGGAACGTGTTATATCAACCACAGGGGCATGATTATAATCGGAACGTGTTATATCAACCAATTGGGCATAGTTATAGTCGGAACGTGTTATATCAACCATAGGGACATAGTTATATTCGGAACGCGTTTTATCAACCAAAGGTGCTTGCTTATAGTGCAAACGTGTTACATCAACGAATGCGGCATGGTTATATTCTGAACGTGTTAAGTCAACCAATGGGGCATAGTTATAGTCTGAACATGGTATATCAACCGACGGGGCTTGGTTATAGTCGAATCATGTTATGTCAACAATCGGGGCATGAATATAGTCGGTACCTGTAATATCAACCATAGGGCATAGTTATAATCGGACCGTGTTATATCAACCATAGGGGCATGGTTATAGTCGGATCATGTTATGTCATCCATTGGGCATGAATATAGTCGGTACGTGTAATATCAACCATAGGGGCATAGTTATAATCGGACCGTGTTATATCAACCATAGGGGCATGGCTATATTCGGACCGTGTTATATCAACAACAGGGGCATGGTTATAGTCGGACCGTGTTATATCAACCATAGGGGCATGGTTATAGTCGGACCGTGTTATGTCAACAATCAGGGCATGGTTATAGTCGGACCGTGTAATGTCAACCATGGGGGCATGTGTACAGTCGAAACGTGTTATGTCAACCAATGGTGCATAGTTTTAGTCGGAAAGTGTTATAT